ACAAACCTACTGGGAAAGATTTCCCATGAGTGGCCCATATGACAACGTGGCCTAACTCCCCTGGGGCAATGGACAGGCAGCCAGAGATGGGCAACTAGGACATACATGCTGTACCACCAGCCACCTAAGACAGGCACAGGACCAACTGCTGTCCTGCAAACCCATAACGGGTAAGGCCCGATTTGGGTCCATGTAATGAGGTCCTTGACCTAAGACAGGCCCTGTCCTCACAGGGCCTGCCATACTCCTGATTAAAAAGTATAAAAAGGGAGATGTTGGAAGCCGTGCGACTGCCCCACTGCTGTCTCCTCACCTCTCCCTTATATGGGCACATAGTAGCCTGCATCAACCATGATCCTCTCCTGCTCATGTCACATACACGGACGTGACGATGACCCATCAGAGATCATCCCGTAGCTTCTTCCTGTCCCACTGGCCCATCCTTGCCCTATAAAAGCTGCAACCACTTCCTGAATAAACGAGACTTGATTGGACTTCCTCAACTTGTCTCTGTCTCTCTTTGTCTCTTGCCCTGTTTTTGTTAATCCCCATTCCTCCTCCAGGTGGTTACCTCACAGACTGACCACGGGCTGGGTCAGACACCCATTCTGGTTTGACTATTATCTTCATTTGAAGTCCTGTAATGTTTCCAATGTTTTGGTTTTATTGGTTTTGTTCTTTACTGTTTTGTTCAAAGGCAATTCTTTTTAAGATAGCAAGAGGCATTATGGAAACCATTGTTGATCACCTTGTATTAAAAATTAAAAATTAAAATTAAAAAAAAAACTAAGGAAGTCAACAAGAAGCCAGCCCCCTCCCTGAGAGTTGGTGCCATGTGCAGGCTTCTGAAGGGAGAACCAGACACCAGTGTTTTCCTGTGAGTAGGCACCATTCTTGGACTGTGGGGGAAGAGAACAAGAGGTCAATGCAAAGCAAGCCCACCCTGTGACTAGGCACCATGCGTGGGCCACTGGAGGGACAACCAGATGCCAGTCCCTTCCGGAGTGTGGGCTGGGAGACAAACCCCTGCCTCCATCTCCTCTGTAAGCTACTGGCTGATCTAGAGAAACACAGGCTGTGAAGACAGCTACTGAGGTAAAATACAGTTTAATGCTTGTACTGTTTAGTGTTTCACTGACTTTGCAAGCTTAAAGTTGGTGGTCTGATCAGCCATTCAGTGAATGACATGCAATGTAGCATCTATGGGGAATCTCCTTCTGAAGGTGGTGGTCATTGTTAATTCCCTATTATCTTGTTTTAAAGTTCTGTGTCATTTTAATTATTTTGTTGGCTTGGGTTTTATTCTGTTTTGTCTTGCTTGCTTTTATAATAGCTGATGGTATGGGTAGCTTTTTCAAAGATAACAAGATATATTATGGTAACCATTTTGGATTTACTGTTATCTTGTTTTGAAGTCCTTTGTTGCATTCATTGTTTTGTTTTTATTGGTTCTAGTCTATTATGCTTTGTTTGATTTTTACTACATCTGAGAATATCTACACTGTTTTGAAGACAACAAGAGATATTATGATAACCATTGTTGATTTCCTATTATCTTGTTTTGAAATTGTGTATCACTTACCCTGTTTTGTTTTGATTGGCATTATTCTGTTTTATTTTGCTTGGGTTTATTCTCTTTAAAAGAAAAAGAAAAAACTATGTTACTATTCTTTCTGTTGTACTTGTGCTTCTTATATCGCAGGACAGGTGGGGGGGCAGGGAATAATTTTAAAGATTTTGAATAAAATAGCCCTTTTCAAAGATTTTTAGAGACACATGTTGATATAAAAATATGAAGGCACATCACACACATCACAAGTCAGAAAGTATATTTACATGACTTTTTACAATAAAATACAAGATTTCAAAGACATCGATGCTCGTGGCAATGGGCTTTCTGGCCAGATTTGCAGCCCTTCTGATGGTATTTTCATTGTTCTCTGCTATTTTGGTGATAATGGTAAGAGGTGCTATTCTTCACCATGCTACCTCCTACTTCTTTTGTCCTCCTTCTATCTTTTCCCCTTTTCCTTCTACTTTGTTTAGATATGTTGTCATTTTCCCAGCACCCTAAGTCAGCTCATTGGTAAGATCATTTCACGGGCATAGGGGCCATCAGAATTGTACTTATGGGAAGAGCTGACTTTCCCAGGGGTGATGTAGAGAGGACTGGGGAGAGACGGAGTCACAGTCTAGGCTCAGTCACCCCCACTGGGAAAGAATGGACTGCAACTGAACTACTCAGTTGGAAGATGTATCTCAAGATGTCTGTGCCAGTACATTAGTTAGCTCTGGCATCCACAATAAAGTATGATAGACTGGGTAGTTTAAACAATGAAAATTAACTTTTTCTTAGTTTCAGGTATTAGAAGTATGAGATCTAGGTATAACATGATCACCTTCCAGTGAAGGCTCTCTCCCTGGCTTATAGATCACTACCTTTTTGCTGAATAGTTATAAAAGGCAGAGAGAAACTTTCTACTTATCTTTTTTATGTGAATAATAATCTCATTATGAAGGATTATCCCACATGACCTCATCTAAACCTAATTATTTGGCAACCACCCCATCTCAAAACACTGTCACATGGGGTTAGGACTTCACTATTAGAACTTTGGGAAAACATAATTCAGTAGATAGAGATCAGTTAGAGAAATTTAAATTGTATGTAACACAAGGTCTAACTCCAACTCAATTAAGGGCATCAGCTGGCTCAGACAACTGAATACAAATCAGGGTTGGCCTCAGAAATAGTTGATCTTGAACTGCATTAGGAATGGCCTGAATTATGTCATCCAAGATTCTAATGTCCATAACTTCATACTAAGATGTCATATCTTTAAGGTAAAATGCCTGAGGTTTTGTGTTTCTTGGTTCACCTCCAGTGAATGTGTCTCAGTTGTAATTATGTCACTGTCCATTCCCAAATCAATCACTATGGTCAGGTTGGCAAGTCTTGTTGATTCGTTTAAGTCAATTAGAGTTCATTCTGAGAGCTAAAGGACCAGCCCATCCAACTTCCGTAACTGCATCACAATTAGGGGTGATAGTCAATTTTGGTTGTCACATTGATTGGTGTGAGAGATGCCTTGGAGATTAGTAAAGAATACTTCGGGGCATCTGGGTGGGTCATGGGAGTGCAACCATGGAGACTATATCTATATGGTCCCTAGAATTTTCCTTTCAGGTTCTTTCCCTGTTCTTTGCTTCTGGGCTGCCTTCCACCGTGGTGTTTCTAGCTTGGACTCCACGTGGACTGAAATCTCTGAAATTGTGAGTCAGAATAACTTTTCCCCTTTTACATTGTCTGTGTTAAGGATTTTGTACTAGTCATGGAGAAATGATTAATACATCTGAGAAAGACAAAAATAGACATGATGAGAAGTGACTATGTCATTCACTTCAATTTCCTCTTTAAGGGCTGGGGGTTTAGCTCAGCAGTATAAGCGCCTACACGGTGAGAGCAAGATCGTAAGTTCGGTTCCCAATACCAAAAACAACAAACACACAAAAAAAATTTCCTCTTTAAAACTGTCCAACTTAAACTACTGACTGTGTATGGTACATGGCAAGTTCTCAGTAAGTATCAATTGTCTAACTGGCTGCTTGCTTATTTATTAATGAGCTACTTGAACATTCTGAGAAGGGATAATGTGGGAAGAGCCCTACAGAAAACATAATGGGAAATGTGGTCAATCCTAAGGTCTTCTCTGAACTCTTTGTTTACAGAAGTGCAAAGCAACAACAGGGCAGAAGTCCCTGGCTCCACAAGCTGCATTGGGGTTTTGTTGAGATGACATTACATCCATACTCACTGTCTTTCCAGGTACGGAAAAAGACATCTTCATTATTCTTATATTGTATATGGATGTTGGTATTGTGTCATGCCAGCCTGTTAGCATTTGAATTTTTACTTTACTTAAAACAGTTACTATGGTCGGGCATGGTGATGCATGACTGTACCAGGCTTCCTAGTATTCAGGAGATTGAGTCAGGAGAATTGCTATGTTCAAGGTCAGCTTGAGCTACAAACTGATAAGGTCAGCCTGAGCTGCATAGGGAAACCCTGTCTCAAAAAGCCAAAAACAATGCAAACATTTACTGTGACATATATCCATAAATCACTCTGTGAATAACTTTGAACTATATGTAGTTTAAAGGTTGTGAGTCCACTATGTTGAGTGACCTGAGGCAGTCACAAAAACTAAACTAAACTACACACAAAAAAACCTGTATGCCTTCAATTATATGAAGTGCTTAGAATAGCTATAGAGAAAGTAAACGGGTGGTTACAAGGGACTGGAGGTGGGGACAAATGGGAAGTTATTATATAATGGGTCCAGGATTTCAGTTTTCCAAGATGAAGAGTTGTGGACATGGTGAGGGGTGCACAATGTATGAATGTATTCAATGAGACTGAATGGTACATTTAAAAATGATTGAGATGGTAATTTATAAGTTATGTGTGTTTTACCACAGTTAAAAAAGAATTGTGAATAATATGGAGATTTCTTTTTTTTAAGCTTGCCTTGATCATTATTTTAATTTCTATTCCTATAGTACACATCTTACACTTGCCAGTCAGCAAACAAGATGATTTTTTTCCCACACAGACACTGAAATTTGTTTGTTTAAGTTAAATTTAGACTTTCTATTAAGGCACCCTAGATTATGTCCTAGAAACGTTGTATACTAGTTTTCTTCTAACAGGGCTTCTTCTCCATTTGTGCCCTCTCTGATAAGGCAACTCTTTTGCTCTTCTTTTTCATTTCCCAGAAGGGACTAACTAGTGGCTATCAGAGTTACCATCACCACTCATTTTCTTTGGAAGGTCACAGTAGTGCAGCCTAGTTTTTGGTGAGATATAGCAAAATCCAAATAATACCATTTATTGGAGCTGTGGCCTGAGTGTCACTTCCTTCCCCAGGTGCTTGAGTCACCTACTCTTCCAGGCCCCTCGTCAGTCACTACAACTTTCCTCTGAGGTTTGAGGTCTCGATGGCACCACTATTGTGCTTGGTAGTACTCAAAGAGGTCAAGAAACTTGTTCAGATTTCACTTCTGTCTTCCTGGCTCCAAAGCTTGGGAATATCTTCCTAGACTACTTTGCTGCCACCCAGTCTTTTTAAGGCATGAAGACATCCCTATCTTTGACCTCCTGGGGCACTCAATGTCTTTTGTGTCAGACTTACAAACCCTACTGGAAGAGTTAGTACGGGAATCCCTTGTGGTGAAAGGTGAGTCATCCCTGGTTCCTAATCACTTCCACCTTCTCCATCTCCATCTGCCAGCTTCCTTGGCTTTCCTGAGTTCTCCAGCTACGTTACCATACCTACCCCAAAGGACACTTTTTTTAAAAATTTATTTTATTTTACATAAATTTACCCATTTATTATAGGCTAGGGATGTCTCAAATACTAGAGCTTCTACTTCAATTCCTTTAGTCTGCTGCTGGCTGACTTAATTGTGACCACAGAAATGGTATTGTAGGTCCAGGCACCACCAGTGACTGTTTCCATGCAAGAACCAAAGTGCCAGATCCCTACAGGCCATTTACCCATCTTGGTTTTGCCACAGAAGGAGCAGGTGTACTTGGGGTGCTAGTTGATTTTAATTTTCTTCAGCATTTACCAGAGTGAGGCACCATAGCAGGTCCCATATTCATCCACAATGCAGATCTTCTTGGTGCATTTGGCCATGTCACTGTGACCTAGTCCTAAGCCTAGAGAGCATGTTCTTTTTTAAAAAATGGTTTTTAAACTAGTACGTGTCTGTGGTACATACTGATTACCTACATCATAAGGAGTTGGTACATATACATGGCACGTTGATCTTGTTGTTGAGCCAAACTAGGTAGACACAAAAGCCTTTCTTTGTTCAGCAGAAATAAGGATAATACTTTTCAAAAGCAAAGGAATATTTACTATGAAAGTAAAAGGAAAACAAATCAAGCTGCAACCAGAAAAAGCATCAAAATGTCCTGATGGAGGGAGGATCCTTTTCATCATTTAACTTCAGTCCTACAAGGGTAGATATGTCTGTGGTTGTACTCCCCATCAGTTTCCCAAGTCCTATCTGGGTGGAGGGAAACAGAATTCTCGTGTCCTCATTCTTTCTGCGTCAAATTATCTCAGGAAGTAACTTTCTGCTTCTCCAGGGGCAAGGTACCATGGGCAAATTTCCATACCTGTAATCTAGTGTCCTCCTTCTCTGCCCACGGGTTGAGGGAAACATAGATTGAGCATTTAGTATGAAAGGAACTGGACAGGAGTTTAACTTTCAAGATTATATACACAAAGAAGGCATTTTAAGGAAGAGGTAAGATTGTGTTCAAGTTCCAGCTCTGCCTAACTGTGAGACCTGAGACTGGACAAATTGCTCAGCCCTTCCCTACAAATCCCACTTCTCTCCTATGCAGGGGAGCAGGAAGACTGAGGTCACTACACACAGAAACTCTACAACCTCTAAAATGTTTGCAGTTATTAATGCCTCTTTGAGCTAGGAGGAAATACTCCCAGACTGATCTTTGAGCCTAGATCTGCTGTGGTCAAGGTACATTTCTGTTTCCCTGGCTCTGCAACCCTCACCAGAGCACCTATTCTCATGTTGTCTTGCACCATTCCAAACTGTGCATTTGTGGAAGCTCTTATTTAATATTCCTAAGTAAACAATCGTCAGTTGAATGCATGAATGCCCATGTTAGTAAAAGGAAAGGAAAAAATTAATATTTGAGACACAAGCAAAAGTACTATACTGGAGGTGAATAGATGAGTTCATTTATCAGTTAGTTATATTTACCGAGTGTTCACAGGTCCCTTGCTCTATTTATTCACAGAGATTATGACATTTTGGGTGCCTGGAGGGAATGGGAAGGCAAGGTAGGTGGATGAATGGAGAAGGTGGTCTAAAAAATCTGAATTATAATGTTTAGTATTTTATTACTTACAGGTAATTACAGTCTTCAAACTGGGCTACAATATTGTTATATTAGGTAAAATGACAGTATAATATGATCTTTAATAATCGTACTTTATTAAAGTTATTGTTATGTGAAAATATTTCCATTATCTTTTTGCGATTTTATCAGTTGTGTTGAGGATCAGTACAAACATTTCACTTTTATGCAACTGTTACAGACACTGAAAATTTAAAAAGCCATGTATAATTTTTTTCAGTTATTTCGGTGACTTTCCAGTTTCAAATCTGCAGACAAATTTTCCTTAAAAGAACTATTAAGTATCAGTATCTTTAAATGATGCTAAAGTGTAACTGAAGCCCTATGACTCACAATTTCATTCAAATACACTACATACTCATATTTTTTTAATCTTTCACAAAACACTAATAAAATTATGAAAACTGGACTACTAGGGCCAAATATGTTAGAGTGCTCATGATTTTGACAAGGGGAGGATCAGAAATAAGATGTTCTTTAGGAAACAGCTCTACTAAAATAAACATGGCAATACAAGTCATTTAAAATAAATATTAAATGCATGCTTGTGATTCCAAGTTGCCATTTAGTATGCTTTGTATTGTAGGATATAAAACTAAACACCCACCTATGGAATTTTAAACTGCACCCAACACCTTCAAAGCCTCCCATAATTCAATATCCCAGTGTTTTCTGGTTGTATCAAAAAATAACCAGCAAATGATTTTACTTCTTAAAAAAAATCATTTACACTTTAAAAATGTCTTGAAGTGGGATTCCTTCCTTTAAAAAAATATGTTTCTAGAGCTACTAAAAAGCCTACATTTACAAAATAGTTAATAAAAATATTCTTCCAGATTTTACAAAAAAGGAGACAGAGGTCATTGATAAGACATGGTGTGCGATTAATCAGGCTTGGCTTCTTTTTCTTCTGCTCCACTCAGAAGCTACTTTCTCTCTCTCTTCATTTTTAGCTTCTCTGTTTTCTGCAGGTAAATCTTTAATTTCTTGCTTAGCCACTTCCAGCCTGTATCCCCTTTGCCCCGCTTTTCCCTTTTGTTTGCACTTTTTGTTCAAAGATTGATCCTCGCTGCCTTTTTTTTTTTTTCTTTTTTTTTTTTTTTCCCCACTTTTGCAGGAGGAGGTTTAGCTGACAGCCTCACCGGTCTCCTCTTGGACTCCTTCGTCCCTTAGGCCCATGGCGCTGACTTTCCTCTCGGTGGCCCGGGGATCCCTGTGGCTGCTCCCACGTGGTGCACGGGGCCTGGTGGAACTGAGCTCCTTGGCCTGGGGAGCTGCTGGCCACGGCGGCAGGGGCAGTGGAAGAACCGGCTCTATCCTCTCTATACTCAAGTCCTTCTAGGATCTCAAAAGCTAGTGGTTTTAAATTTTAAGTTAGTGGAGTGTTCAACTGAAGGATTTTTACTGGATTGTTGCTATGGGCAGTAAGTAGTTTAAATACAGAAGACGCTGTACTTTTAGATTGGTGGACAAGATTTCAGAGAGCAGGATTTTCAATCTTAAAGACAGTTTGCATGCCTTGGCAAAGTCTTTCATTTGATTTACCAGAGGAGCCCGCAGCATGGGTAGGAATCCCAAAGGTCAGAAGCATGTGCTGCTAGTTGGGGTAACACCACCATTGCTGGAAAGACTTGGTGTAGTCCCACAGACCGACTGTGGAGAAGGGTGGAGAGGGAGGACCCCAGCACCAAGAATCCCTCAGAAATGACCATCCGCAGGTTGAGACAGGCAAGCTAACAGACAGGTTAAAGCAGGCCGGATTATGATGGCAGCTCCCAAGCCTAAATCCTTGAAATCTGTGTTAAAGTGGGCGTGAGATGAATCTGAGGACCTTACTCCTGTTGTAGTCAGTCTTGAGATGGATTCTGGTTGATGTACAGAAGAGCACTGAAGAGGGAACCTACTGAGGGGGTTCCAAGCATATTTGAATCCCAATCTTTTACAAGCTGAGTGATGTTGGTAAGTTATTTAATCTTTGAATTTCTATTTTAAAGTCAGGATGACAACAATAGTATTTGCCTCATTATGATATGAGGATTACTTAGCTTGATATATATCCTATGCTTCACGTTATACACAGCACCTGCAGGATGCCCTGTACCAGGCAGGAATGATTACTATTACTGAGCATGTAGGACTTGCACTGCCATGTTTGGTCAGTGAGCTTAAGGACATGTTCTATGGTTTTATCATTGAGTACTCCTTAAATTTCTTAGTTGGTCATCATCATTGTTAAAGAAATAATGCATGGCTTCTGCTTCCAGTACTAATATTTGATGACAGGCAACCTCTCTGAGGATTTGGAACCATCTCTTTCCAAGTTTTGTCCACAGCAAAGAGATAGTTCAGCTGTTAAACTGTCACGAGTCATCCCTGTGCCCACTGTATGTAATTATTCTACTCTGAGATTCTCAGATCCCAGTAAAGGAGACAACAAAGAAAAGAAAGGAAATAGCAAAGCAGAAATAGAGAACTGTTAGCTTGGAGGGCTAATCGTGTTTCAGATGGTCCCCCACGCCAAATACCCCACAGTAACATATGACTAATAATGGCTGTCTCAAGAAGGGTATGGAAAGAGAAGCAGCGAGAGAACCACCCAAGAGGGACAGGTGTAAAGGATCCAAGGCGGCTCAATTGAAGCTTTTTTTCTAATTACAATTTGTCAGCTGTTCTCCTTTATTTCGGATGGGCCGAGAGGCCCTAGTGCGTAGCTGGGGGTCTCTTCTCCAGATACTTAGGTCTCTGGCTGAGAATCTCCTTTGTAGAAGCAACTATTATCTCTTGTGGATATTTTCATCAGATAACTCTGTTTAGATTATGATAGAATTCTTTTTATCCTAATTATTTTCTCCTGTGTAGCTTTCTTTCTTAATATGTGATGCTGTTGCCATCTTTCGTTTCCATCTACATCTTTGTTACGAGTATAATTTAAAGCACCCTATGTTTCTTTATTTTCTCTCCAATTGTCTTTTCAACTATTTCCTGACCTTTTGCTCTACTGTCCTTTTTTATTTATTTCCTTTCCTGCTTTATTGCTATCCATGTTGTTCTAACACTGCATATGAATTTCTAGTCATATTCAAGACCCTATCTTTCATCTCAAGGTAACTCCATGCCTTCATAAATAGGAAAAGCCAGAGGGTCAACCCTGGCATGGAAACCAGAGTTCTGATTCTGGCTTTTCCTTTATTTTATGATTCTGTTATTCCCTTAGTGTTTTCAATTCTTGGTCTCAGAAGTGAAGAGAGAAGGAATTCGGGTGTTGCTCAGTAATGCGCTCCATGAATCACCTTTTGACTGAAGGCTTAGAAGACATAGCTTCACCATTTAAGGTGCACAATGGTCTGGGTTGAAATAGTGCCGCTGTTATTATAGCAGACGGTACTATGCTCTCACAGGCCTAGGGGTTCTGGCTGAAGCCGCTTGCTCTGCTCTGATCTATTGCCACAGACCTGGGGACAGTCATTGTAATGCTGGGTGGGATTCCCTTGGATAATAGACTTTGGGAGACAAATCCTTTAAAGTCACAGAACCTATCTAGCTACTGGATCCCTGACATCTTGAATCCAGGGAAGGGGAAACACTACTGGTAAGGCAGCTGAATCCATTCCATGGCCAAATAATAAAGTTACATTTTCAAAGGAAACATTCCTATGTTTGGCCATGATGATTGTTTGGTTAGCAAACTTGCCTTCTGTGAGTGATACTTGTATTTAGTTGTCAGTAGCCACAGCTCATCCCCTTCCTATCAAACAACTTCAACAGAAAAGGTTTTAAAGTTGTCAGAATCCTGGGTTATTTCTTTTTAAATTTCCAGCCTAGATCTAGCCTCATCACCCTCACCATCATGTCAGTGATAACAATAGCTTATACTTCTCTATGTGCTAGACTTTATTCTAAAGGTTTTAGATATAATGAATCAAAAATTATAGTATCTTTAAGCAATGTTCCCCATTGGCATCCCTATAGGAACACAAAATATGATGGTACATCATTAAATAAGAAATCTAAATGTCTTCCACTCTGGTCCCCAACTTCCCCGAGAGAAGAGAACATGAAAGCTGCCAAGCTATTAGTTAGATCTCCTGGCCTCTGGCCCAGAAAACATCCCGAGCCCTTCAAGTATCTTAACAAGAACAAGCTGGCCATTCATAGACAGAATCAAATAAGATAACTTAAGAACCCAAAATTAATTTTGCTTAATATATGGGTAATACGCTATTACAAGGTTCCAAAATAATTTTTTGTTTTCCTCATTTTTTTATCTTTACAAATAAAGTCTTTGAATTTCTTTTTAGACACGTGTATTGTCTTTCTTTCCATTTCCCAGACTGTTGTTTTTGAGATAGGGTCTCATTGTGTTTCCAAGGCCAGTTCAGTGACCTTCAAGTGATTCTCCCGCTCAGCATTCCGAGTATTTGGGCCCACAGGTGCACATCACCATGTCTAACTCCTCAGCCTTTAAAACCATTACTGACACAGCCAAGTGAATGTTTCTTCAAACTGTTACAGCAGTGTATAGATTGTAAACAACACAGCCATTTAAACTCTTCTCCCACCAACTCTCTTGTCAGGACAGCTAATAAACATGGCACAGTTGACCTATGTAACGTCTCGGGCTGCACTTCTGTGTGGTTTGTGGTGAGTGATGTAATAAGCAGATGGAGTGTAGGTACCAAGAAGCAAAGGGGCCCCTGGGAAGAACAGAGATTGGGTAACTTCTTGGGTTGCTGGCTCCATGGTTCTTTGTTTTCATGGAAATCCATCTGAATTCTGATTCTGGGACCAACCAGGAACACCATGTGGAAATTCCCTGTCCAGTTTTGATTCAGAATATTTCTTCCCAAGAATCTCTGTGTCCTACCCATACAGGATTTGAAACTAACTCTAGCAACGTGAGTAGAGAAGACTGGTTTTCTTAGAACATGGACTATTCTAAGTCCTGGGTTATTTCTTTTTAAAGTGGCAATTTCACTAGCATTTTAATGAATCAGGGTGTGGATTATATAGAATATCTTAAAATTCATATTTCTGTTCAAACAGTGACAAATTTATAAACAACATGGATATGGAAAATGAGTCAAAATCAATTAAAATGAATCTAACCCAATAACACAACTAGTATTGTTTAAAATATTGTTCAGAGTTTGTTTATTTGGTTTCAGTTATTTTTAATTTTACAAAGAAATTATTATAACTGTATTTTTTGGGAAAATTACTGGAGAGATTATTTTTAATTGAGTTTTGGGCAAAGAGAATGTTTTCTCTAATTGTCTGAACTTTTCTCCATTAGCACCTAGAAAAATGGGATTTGTGAGAACTTTTTTAATGCTATTTAGCCCTGTGAGTCCCTGCTTCCTTATAAATCATGGTAGGTTTCAAAGGAGATATTGCATGTGGAATATTTTTGGACAGTGCTAGGTACGAAGATACAGAGTAAAAGTTAGTTTCCTTTTCTCTGTGTGTGCATGTGCATGGAATGAGGAAGAATGAATAAGCATGAATTGGAAGACTGTTCCAGAAACAAGAGTTCCATAATTATACTAAGTAAAATCCAAAAGTCAGAAAGTAACAGGTCAGAAATGGAAAAAAAAAGTTTAGAAAAAGAGTATCGGCAACTCCCACATATGTATTTGGAGTCCTCTGCCAGGTAACCAACTGAAGGTATTCAATCCTACAATCTGTTTGAGGAGACAAGATTTATTCATTTGTTAAACAGGTAAGTAAAATGTGAAAGAATTGTTACTGTCGTGCTCTGCATTTATTGTATTTCTGGAGACCTGACAGAAGTTCAGAGCTGCTGTGGGTAGGAGAAAATGGCGGATGAGAACTTCACTAACTGAAAGGTCAGCCATCACAAAGAGAGACTGTTGGCTTTCCTGAAACAGGAGTGGTGAGAAATTGTCTCAACATTCTTGATGACAACAGAAAATCCCCAAACAAAGCTAAACGGGGCCCTGCAGCATAGATGTGCGTGTGCCAAAGGGAAGGGCGTGGGTGAACAAGCTGGAGTTGTCCAGTGCATGTCCCTGCTTTCCTCACCGGCCTAAGTGACACCAATACTCCTTTGTGGAGTCACTTATCCAGATCCTCCTTAAACTCTATTTCTTTCTTTCCTCAGTAGATCCCTAGAGAGATAGCCTTTCAACCCCCCATCTCTGCTGAATGCCTGTTGGATCCCAGCAGTGAGCCCATTGGATGGCTGGATTTACTTAGAGCAGACTATTATCAAGGCCTGTTAGTGCTGCTGAAAAGAATTCTTGTCAAATCTTCCAGGTTATAAGAGACATGACAGCTCTTTGCAGTGTTATCCATGAAAAAGCACAGCAACCATCCAACACAGCATTAATATTCCCCCCCCCCCACTCTGCCCTCCAACTTGCTGCCATAGATCAGCTAATCTGATAATTACGGCAACAAACACAGTTTAGACAAACAAGACCTGACCCTGAGGGTTTGGAATGAAAACATTTACTCTCTCCCTCCCTAGAGAGATGGTGCCTGCAGCCTACACACAGAGAGACACTGGGAAAATACCCTTGTGCTGGAGCAACAGGGTGAAAACATCTGTGTTCCTGCACTGTGTGTAGGAAGATAAAGTTAATGGGGGGACGAAGCAGAGTGGGGGAGGCCAGGGGCGCTAGGAATGGTGCAGTCCAAGGCATGCCTGTTTGGAGCAGATGGAAAATGAACCCATCTCTGGCCATGTAAGCGAATTATAATTGATTTTGCAACAGAAACTGAGTGAAAGAAGAGGTGCGGCGAGGACTGACACAAGATTAGAGCAAAAAGCCTGGAGGAGTGACTAAAGGAAGAGAACCAGTTTAAGAAACCAATGTAGCATTTATTCCTGAGAGATGGAGGAAGGGATATTCCTTGTGGTCCATGATTCTAAGAAAATTTAGAGATCCAGGGGGAGATCCAAGTTTGAATAGCACAGGTTAGCAGGTCAACCTTTTCCCTATCCCCAGTTCTGTTTCTCTCTCCTTCCCTATCAAGCTGTTTTCTCTCTGCATTGTAAAAACGTGACTGGAGTGGTGTTGCCCTGCCTCCTGCACTGTTCCCATCCAGTTCTACCCTCAAGTTTTGCCTCACTTATCTATATGACATTTCCTTTTTACACATGGCTGGTGTTTGCCAGCTGGTAAATGCTGCTTGTCCCTTAGAGAACTCTCCAGATTTCCCCTAGGCATCTACCCTTGGGGAACTGCAGATCACTTGTATGGATGGTACTGAGCTAAGAGAAATAACCACTGTGATTGATGATAGGATCAAGGTTTAAAATGGATTTCATAAGCTAAAAGATGGTCTCAGATCAATATAAGAGGATGCAGCAGGAATTAAGGTAAAACAGTACATTTAGGTCTACCAGTCAATTGCATGAGTATAGTATGGGAAAACCTACAAAAACAGTTGATGTAAAACCAAAACAAATCGGTTAGTTTGGGGTTGACAGTTGATGCAGTAGGAGATGGTAATGGATCTATGCTTAAATAGTGAATACAGTCACCATGCACATTAATAAAAACATTGTGACTGGGTTAATGTCCTATGTTATGAACAAACCAAGGTTTGTGTTTTAATTTCATGTTTACATTAATACAGGGCCCACCTTGTCAAAAGGCAGCTTCGGTATCCTGCTCAGCTGGTTTCACTTGCCCCTGTATTTCTTAGCTGGTGAGCTGGGGAGTCCCTCGGTAACAGAGAAAGACACCTCTTTCCAAACAGGCGCTCCTCTCACTATTTCTCATTCACACTGTGCCCATTTGTTTATCCATTTATGTATTCAGTTACTGAATACCTGCTATGTGCTAGGCATTGTTCCAGAACCTGGGGATTCAATAGTGAACAAGATGGGGTTCTTACCTTCATTAAGCTTATCTTCCCATGGTGGTAGGCAGACCCTAAACAAAAACTTTTAAAATGTTAGATAATAATAATAAAAAAGAAAATCCTACCACAGTACCAGGTACTGGAAAATTCTCCTACCTTCTGCCTACACTTCTCAGAATATTACTTCCTGCTTCCTAACCCAGCTCAAGTTTCACTTTCCCTTTGAAGGCAGAGGGTTCCTCTGAGGAGTCCCGTCCCCCCCCCCCCCCCCCCCCCCCCCGCCACTGTTGCCCAGGGGCTTATAGCACATAATTGAGCACTCTACAGCTCTCTAATTGCTTCCCTAATGCTAATTTTGCCTACCCGACAGACTGTGGGAGATTATTAGCTCTTTGAGGCCATAGGATATGCCTTCAATTAAAATATACATATCCAGTCAGTCTCTAGCTAGAATGCTCTTTAAAGGGAAATGAAAAGCACAATTCAAACACATTGAGGCTTCTTAAACCAATTCTCAGAAAACAAGAGAATACCTTTTCAGTGCTTCCCAAATCCTCTAGAATAAGAATATAAAGGTAGAACGATAGTTTGTTTATTTGCTGAAATTACATCCTCCAAATAGTCCTAGACTCTGTAAGGAGACCTTTAAAACAACAAACATGCCTTAAACTAAGTAGTAGCAAGATCAGAGGGAGCAGCAGGAGGGAAATACCCAAGTCTTAGAGGGAGGAAAGATAAGGACAAACAATGCAAATTCAGAAAGAAACAGCCCACCCTGTAGCCAAAACAGCATTCTTTTGCATCCCTCACACTGTAGAGTAAAAGCAGGCCAAGAAAAAACAAAAACAATAGAAGTGGCCATTAATAGAGAATTGGTTAAAGCAATAATGGCTTCCCCTGGATACATGGACTGGTATGGAGAAAAAGTAACTAAAGCTGTGGACACTAACAGAAAAAGATTGGCCATCACATATTTTAAGAAACAAATCTCAAAACAATACAGCTAATATGATCCTTTTCATTTAAATAAATTTTACTTAGATACTTATGTATGTATAAAAATGTGAGTAAAGGATATGTACCATTGTTAATGATAAGTATTTTGGGGAAGGAATGAAGTTCTAGGGAAGGGGAGGAGGATGCAGGGAATGTAATGACTTGTTTTTACTTTATTCGTTTTTGAAATGTTTGATACCTTTAATTTAGAATGGCCATTTGTTGTTTCAATAAAATAATAAACAATGAATAGAAGTAACAGGAATTCATTAATTAATTTTCTCTTTCAGAGAAAACACACATGTCGATGTAGGGAGCAAGATCATTATTAAGATTTGATTTGCTGCTTAGAGAATTGTGGATACCGAAGGTGGCTCCTGGATTTGCATAGATACCCTTATGCCATACAGAAAGAGAAAACCTTTAGCGTTCATCAGTGGACTGAATCCCCTAAGGGACACTCTTAGGTAAAACAACAGCATATCTAAATTAAAGACTTGGTAGGGCACTCAAGGAGAGGCGAGGAGGCAGCTGGAAACATGATTCATGAGTTTGCTTCAAGGGTGCACTTAAATTCCTTGATTTTTTTTTTTTCTGTATAAATGAAAAATATGGAAAAATATGTTTAACAGTTTTGTATCAGCTGCAATTTTAGACATAGGGAAAATAATATTTAAGAGTTCAAGAGCATGGCTTTGGAAAATTAGAGACATTTTGGATTCTATGTTTGCTATATGTTAGCTGTATGATTTCCCTCCTTTCTCTTCTGGGGACGCCTCCTCTTCCGTCTCCAGTGCTGGTGCTTCCCAGGCTACTGTTTCAGGGTTTTTTCTCTCTTCTCTGGTCTGTGTTATCTTCTTATGGCTCTGTCACCACTGCATGATCATGACATTCAAGACTGAGGGACAGGCCAAATCTCTGAGCCACATGTCTTCCAGAATATTTTAATGGCTTCCCATTGCCCATGCACTAAACTCATCCACATGATCCACAGAGCCCTTCCACTTGGTTCTAGTGTATCTTTCCAGTGCTGTTCATTCTTTTCCCTGTTTCCTCTCTGTGTTATACCAAACCGCTATTCAGTTCTGTAGCTAACATGTTACCTGTTCTCTTAACTCTGGGCTTTTGAAAGCCTTGACACCCCTTTCTCTTTCTTTTCTCTTATATCCTGAGTTCTCAGTTTGGCCCCTTTTCTGAGAAAACTCTGTTTATCCTTTCTCAGCTAATATGTTAGCACATAATTTAATTTCCCGAGACTGTGTCCCCCAACAACATTCAATGGCTGGTTTATCCATTTAGATTGCTCACTGTACTGCAAGCCCCATCGAGACTGGAACAGTACTGTCTTGTCACTGTATATTTAGAGAACAACCCTAGGGAGGCACAAAGATTCACGATAAATGTTTGTTGCATGAAGTACTGTTATGTCTAATCTGAGCAAGGTCACAGAATGGTTAAGCATTGGACTCAATTCAAACTTTAGTTCTACTGGTGGTAACTGTGCATAGGTTGACAAGTACGTTAACCTCCCTGTTTCCTCATCCATTAATCTATTTGAAATATAACAGCATCTGACACATGATAAAAATTTGATATTCATAATTATTATAATTTTTATAATAGTAAAATAATCACTAATTAGTTTTAAAAGTTTAGATATTTGAGTATAGATTTTCTTAAATCATAACATATTTGTACTTGGTAGATCCAGTCGTCTAGTAGGTTTCCCTTCAGAAAAGTATTTCAATACTTAGGTAGAAAATTACTTGGCACCTTAAGAGATCAAGCAATTGTGTTTAACATTAACAATCTTTTAGATTTTCAGGTTTTACAACATGGTAGCTAGAACTTAATATTTATATGATTGTTGCTTTTGTTTTAGATGGTAGTTCTCAAACATTACTGTGCTTGGGCATCCTGTGGTACTTTATTAAAGTACTGATTAACAACTTCTGTCCCAGGGGTGATTCTGAAATATGTCTTGAATCTGTAGACTTTTATTATAACACTTTCTTGGTGATTCCAATGCATACTGGAGTATAACAACTCAGGAGCTAATTTTTAAAAACCAATTGGTTAAAATTAGTAACTATGACAGAACCATGTGGCAGCACTGAGCTCAGCCGGACTTCATGGGCAGTGACTGTCTAGAGCAGAGTCTGAGAAGCTGATAACCAGCAGTCTAGGTTCTAGAAGTTATTCCTATGCACAATTACATGGCTGGAGTGGCCTTTGGGAACTGCTGTTACCTTCATGGGTCCTGCAGATAACTGGTTACACCAGCACTGGAATAGCTGCTGGGAACCAGCTCTGGGCTTAACAGGTCAGGGGGAGGGAGCTCTTTTCATAAGATAAGGCTGGAAGTGCCATTAGGAGTCTTGCTGGAGGCAACTCATAGGAGCAGTGCTTCTAGAAGGACCCAGGTCACCCCCGAATTACCAAGAGTGTTTGTTAAAATGCAGATTTCTTGGCTTTCCTTCAGATGCTCTGAATCAAGATCTGTGTTTAAAACAGTTTTTACTGATTTTTCTGAGGTTTGTTAGTGTTTAGAAGATCTTAATACCAGTGTGTGCCAGCCTCACTGTCTGGGGCTGACAGATGTTGCACCCTCTGTCCTGGAAATGTGGCAAAATTGGAGGGCTAGACTCTCTGTGTGGAACCTTGGATTGACTTGTCAGATATTAAATGGTCACACTTCAGCCATTCTGAAAGGTGTAATCCAGAAAATAACTTTCATAAATCAAAGTTATCATTTTGTTTGAATTATTTGGTGATACAGGCACTTTTCAGGGGACAATTAGAATGAGTGCTTGTTTCTCAGGAACTGTCTACTTAACGATGATTTTCTTTTGCAAGGACTCTGAACTGTGACAGGCAAGCCTTGGTCTGGACTCTTCTTGTTGGTCCTTTGAGGGTGACAGGATCCTCCTGGCACACTTGTTTAGATGAGTGAAGCGTCTTGTAGGTGACATCTATCCTCTTCATCTGTCAAAAAAGATAGATAAGCAGCAATTTGGCTGCTCAGGGGATGTCACAGCCTCGGTTTTCTCTTCAAACTGTTAGATGCTATAACTTGAAGAAATGAAAGGAGGTGGAGAGGGATAGTTTCTAACAAGCTGTCTGCTCTCAATGTGGGGCCCCCGCCATGGGCTGGACTCCTTTACTCCCAGCCTGCCTCAGCCCTGACTTTGTTCAATTGCTATTAGTGTAAAATTCTCCAGCTTCTCTGAGAAAAAAGAGGTGGCTTGGGGCTGAAAGGCACAGATTCATAAGTAATTTTTCTCATATACTTCCAGTGCTTAATACATTTCACGGAAGATGAATCACTACAGCAGACTTTGAAAACTGAGTCTTAGACAGGACATAGATCCATTACACTGACCCTTAACCAGTAGACCTTTCTCACTCGTCTAAGTAGGGAAAACTCAGCCAGGCAAAACTGTAGGTGGTTCCTATGCCCAGTGATTTTTTGGGTTGGACTGAGGGATAATTTACAAAGTAACTAAATGCAGAGATCCTCCAGAAGTGGAATCCACTCACATGGGGAAACTGAGAGGTAGGCAAAATCAGTACCAAGTTTAATTTTGCATAAAAGGGCATTTAGAACCCAGAGCAACAAGATTCCAGTAACCCTAGCTTAAGAGGCAACAGGTTTAATAAATAACAAAATGATGGGTGCCCTGGAAGTTTTTGAGTATATGTTTTAGACTAAATTTTTGTTAGCCTGCCATACTACTCACTATAAAATTATGCATTCAAGATCATAATGTTAGAATAATAGTTTATATAATCTATTATCCAGGATTACAGGTGGTATATGAGCCAACAGCCCTGGAATGTTTTGAATAGTGATACTAGTAGTACATGAACATGTTCTTGTTGTAAACTATTTAGAAATTTACACTGCAAAATGTCCCTTTCCCTCCCATTCCTATCCCCAGAGGTAAGCACTATCAACAGTTCGGTGAGTACCCTTCAGTGACTTTCTAAACATTTACATACTTATGGGTGTATATATACATACTTTTCTGTAAATGAGATCATACATCATACATCACATATTGTCATATAACTATGTTTTCTTTTGCTTTGCAGAGTAGTACAGTCATACTTTGGTTGTTGAATGGTTCCAAGCTCAAACTTTCTAAAACTTTCCACAATT